GTGGGGGGGCAGGGAACAGGGGGGTGTATTATTTTATATGTGGGGCAGGGAGCTTTATGGTAATATTGTTAAAGTTGTTAATATTTATTTTTGTAACTTTATTCAGCATAAAACATGTAACAGTGTCATTGATAAGATTATTTAAGAAGGTGTGTTTAGGGGCGGAGTTAAGGCCGCGGCAGGGTAGGGGTTAGGTGGGCAACCAGTGTCGAGTAACTCTTAAGGCCTGGCTAGTAGCTCAGGACTTGAAATTTTGACCACTGCCATACTTCTATTGCCATAAGGAGAGCCAGGTTGCCAGAGGAAATCTTATGTTGCTTTCATTGTTCAAGCAGTGTACCATGTTGTCTTTAGGTGCTTTGATACAAAAATTCACCAGTGTCTGTATGATTTTCTGCCATATTCTGGGTGACCTCCTACCAGAGGCATGTGCAGCCTATTGTGCTAGGGTAGGGGGTCTCAAAGTATCGGTCCGCGAACCGGTACTATGTAGCCAGCTGACAAGTCAGGCACATGATCACGGACTGCGTACCTGACTTGCCTGAGTAGCTACACGGTCTGCATTTCTGTCAGATGCAGACCGCATTCTGCAGCTGGCTGCGCTCTCTATTTCTTCTGGAACAGTGAGCACAGGTTGTTCTAAGGCAGGGGTGGGCAAACTCTGGCCCTCCAGCTGTGGTGAAACTACAAATCCCATGATGCATCTATCTCTGGGAGTCATGGCTGGTGCTTATGAGAGTCTTGCAATGCCTCATGGGATTTGTAGTTCCACAACAGCTGGGGGGCCAGAGTTTGCCCATTCGTGTTCTAAGTGGACCCTACAGCCAGAAAAGTAACCAAATTTACACACTGGTTTAATCTCGTCCAACATCAGTTCCTGACCTCACAAATGCACTTCTGGAACAATGGTCAAACATTCCAATAGACACACTCCTAAACCTTGTGGATAGCCTTCCCAGAAGAGTTGAAGCTGTTATAGCTGCAAAGGGTGGGCCAACTTAACCAGTTGACATCCGCGGTGTTAAACCCCCTTCCCATCCAGGCCATTTTTCAGTATTCAGCGCTGCGGTACTTTGACTGACATTTATTCCGTCATGCAGCGCTGTACTGAAATGAATTTTATACCCTTTTTTGGGGACAGATAGAGCTTTCTTTTGGTGGTATTTATTCACCACTGCGGGTTTTATTTTTTTACTATATTAAGGAAAAATTACCGAAATTTAAAAAAAAAAAAACAGTTTCCCCTATATTAAATGATAAAACATTTATTATTACCCAATTTTTTGGTAAAATATAAAAG